TTTCCACACGCGTCCACATGTTTCCACATGCTTCAACATGCTTCCAAACTCATCAACACGTTTCCACACATTTCCACACGCTTCCACTCACTTCAACACACTTCCACACGTTTCAACGCGCATCCACACATTTCCACACGCTTCCACTCACTTCAACACACTTCCACACACTTCAACACGCTTCAACACGCTTCCACACGTTTCCACACATTTCCACACGCTTCCACTCACTTCAACACACTTCCACACACTTCAACACGCTTCAACACGCTTCCACACGTTTCCACACATTTCCACACGCTTCCACTCACTTCAACACACTTCCACACACTTCAACACGCTTCAACACGCTTCCACACGTTTCCACACATTTCCACACGCTTCCACTCACTTCAACACACTTCCACACACTTCAACACGCTTCAACACGCTTCCACACGTTTCCACACATTTCCACACGCTTCCACTCACTTCAACACACTTCCACACACTTCAACACGCTTCAACACGCTTCCACACGTTTCCACACATTTCCACACGCTTCCACTCACTTCAACACACTTCCACACACTTCAACACGCTTCAACACGCTTCCACACGTTTCCACACATTTCCACACGCTTCCACTCACTTCAACACACTTCCACACACTTCAACACGCTTCAACACGCTTCCACACGTTTCCACACATTTCCACACGCTTCCACTCACTTCAACACACTTCCACACACTTCAACACGCTTCAACACGCTTCCACACATTTCCACATGCTTCAACACGTTTCCACACGCTTCCACACATTTCCACACACTTCCACACACTTCAATATGCTTCCACACACTTCCACACGTTTCCACACATTTCCACACGCTTCCACACGTTTCCACACGCTTCCACACGTTTCCACACATTTCCACACGCTTCAAAACGCTTCAACACGCTTCCACACATTTCCACACGCTTCCACTCACTTCAACATGCTTCAACACTTTTCCACACGTTTCAACACGCTTCCACAAGCTTCCACATGTTTCCACACGCTTCCACATGTTTCCACATGCTTCAACATGCTTCCAAACTCTTCAACACGTTTCCACACATTTCCACACGCTTCCACTCACTTCAACACACTTCCACACGTTTCAACGCGCATCCACACATTTCCACACGCTTCCACTCACTTCAACACACTTCCACACACTTCAACACGCTTCAACACGCTTCCACACATTTCCACATGCTTCAACACGTTTCCACACGCTTCCACACATTTCCACACGCTTCCACACACTTCAATATGCTTCCACACACTTCCACACGTTTCCACACATTTCCACACGCTTCCACACACTTCAATATGCTTCCACACACTTCCACACGTTTCCACACATTTCCACACGCTTCCACACATTTCCACATGTTCCACACGTTTCCACACGCTTCCACACGTTTCCACACGTTTCCACACGCTTCAAAACGCTTCAACACGCTTCCACACATTTCCACACGCTTCCATTCACTTCAACATGCTTCAACACCTTTGCACACATTTCCACACATTTCTACACGCTTCCACAAGCTTCCACATGTTTCCACACGCTTTCAACATGGTTCCACACACTCTTGTTCTCTGTTTCCTCACATCTCGTCATTTCTCACTGTAGATTCGAGGAGATCCTGAAGGAGAGCGATGGCATCATGGTGGCCCGCGGTGACCTGGGCATCGAGATCCCGGCAGAGAAAGTCTTCATTGCGCAGAAGATGATGATCGGACGCTGTAATTCTGCAGGAAAACCTGTGATCTGTGCCACGCAGGTGCGTCATACGTGTTTTTGATGATCAGCTTCAACAATTAAACTAATGAGAATTTTGTTCATGCAGATCAAAAGTGTGCGCTTATTAGATCAGCACTTCTCAACCATTCAACTATTTAGTGGCAATTTAATTTACAGTTTTTTTCAATTGCTAACAAGCATTTACCAATACTTAAAATACTTTTTCTAAACTCTTAACACAGCAACACACCTACATCACACAATTAGCCCAATAGTTAATTTTCTGGCCAAAACCGCATTTTGTTAAATAAATACAAACTCTACATTTCAAATTGCTCTATCAAAACACAGCAAACCCGATTCAAAATCGAGTCATTCGGTCAAAACATTAGCACTAGTTTAGCACAGTGACTGTCAAAATACTAACAGTTGATGGCTTTACAAAAACTGCATTACTTGTCATGTTTCAGTTCTACCTGCATATAATAGACAATATAAAAATCCATAGTTTTTTGTCATTTAGCCTTCAGTTACCTTCAACTGAAACCCATTTTACATTTGTAAGTGTTGAATGTGTTCATTCTTGGCAACATACTATCTAAAACTGAATGAGTCATTACTTTAT